GAATTGCGCAATCGTATTTCATCACTCGATAGTGTAGTGTAGTGTTTACAGAGTTTGATCTGCGATTGCGGAGGTTAAGCGATGATCGCAAAGACCATGTAATCGGATGGGTGGTCAAATTCTTTTTAGCAGAACGATATAGGACGACCACGCTGGTCCAGTAAGTATTACTGGATAGAATATCTGTGCTTTAGCATATCCGCATTGGCACCTTCACGCGGATCCACTTAGGAATTCTGGGTGTTTTGACTTCATCCATTAACAATATACCAATAATTTCGAGTAACTGAAATATAAAAAATAATTAGCGTTAAAAAACTAAATGATGCATATCTTCATAACCACGCGGTTGTATTCGCGTGCAACAGCTAGTTATTTACAAGGCTAAACAATTCAAGATTTTTGTGATCGAACCCGGGATATCAGAGATGGCGAAACTTTGAAACCGGTGTCGTCATACCTACATAAAATAATGAAAATAAACTTTTAAAATACCTACAACTTCGCTATATTGTATAGCGTGAACAAAAGATTCACTTTGTTTACTCTGCCATAAATATTCGCAGTTGCCGCCGATTCATCCATTAGAATGAAAGAAAAGCTGCTGGATATGAACACTTTTAAATTTTATAGCATAATCAAATAATAAACAAAAGTAGCTTTATTCAAGAAAATGATATTGAAGTCAGGCGCCTATTATTTAATCAAAACCCAAAGAAAAGCTTAGACCGACTTTAATAGCATTTTATGAATAAAAGGCTTTTGAGATTATTATTCACTTTTTTTAAAGTTTGAAGTTTGTTTTAATTTGTTTTTTTTTTATTTGAAGTTAGTTTCATTTTTTTTTTAAATACCTACTTGCATAAAAATAATATAGTATAAATATATAATAGATAGATCAATAGAAATAGGGAAACCTGAGGAAAGCTGAAGTAATACGAGGTTCGGGTGCAAGATAATTTATTTATTTTATTTATTTATTTAATTCTTCATGCACAAAAAAAGTACATTGGCGGACTTAATGCCTTAGGCATTCTCTCCCAGTCAACCTTAGCGTGCTGTGGGGAAACCGATGGTGGCAAGGTGCACAATGGAACTAAAGAATAAAGATTTCTTTCCAAACAAGTAGTTACATAAAAACTTATAATACATAAAATCTATAACAAATACATATATATCAATATGCGTACATAATCTATATACCTATACTATATACATACATATAATAAATATACGATAAAAGTATCAAATCGACGAATCCAGTTCTTTCGAAAAATAGCCACGTAACCTTTTCTTAAAAATTAATTTACTGGTGGACATTCGGATTTCTAAGGGGAGCTCATTCCATAGAAGGATAGCCTTAACAAAGAACGAAGAGTGAATGATATCGGATCTGTGAGATGGACAGTTGAGTAAACGATTGGATTGGGAACGAAGAGTTTTAGTATGGGAATTGCATAGATATTGGAAGTGAGATGTGAGATAAGTAGGAGCGTTAGGAGAGTCCAATAACGAAAACAAGGTGGTCAGAGCTCGCATATTCCTTCGCTGTCGTATTGGCATCCAGTTTAGAAGAATTCGCTTTGCAGAGACATGATCATATTTCCTAAGGTTGAAAATGAATCGAATGCAGTTGTTTTGAAGACGGTCAAGCTTGTTGAGGAGATCTGCATTCAGGTCGAGATAGCACACATCACCATAGTCAATGATAGGAAAAATTAAGGACTGCACAAGCATTGCCTTAATATTAGGTGGTAAAAAATTTTTTAGGCGGTAAAGGGCTCTTAAAATCCCCGTTACTTTTTGGCACACAGTACTGGTTTGAGCCTGCCAATTAAAATTAGAGTCGATATATAGCCCTAAATCTTTTACACTGCTGCTGAATGGTATTGAAGTGCCGTCATACATAATACATCTGTGATTATTAACGTTAATTGTCGCCATGATTCGTGACCCACCCAGCAGTATGGCTTGACATTTAGTGGGATTAACTGCAACGCCAAAATTAGATGACCATGTTTTGATCGCAACTAAATCACTATTTAACTGATCAATGGCGTTATCCAATTCATCAATATTTGATTCAGTATATAATTGTAAGTCATCAGCATACAGATGATACGAACACTGAAGCTGGTGAGTGATAAAATCAATAAAAATGGAAAAGAGAAGAGGAGAAAGAATGCCGCCTTGGGGAACGCCAGTTTCTAGACTGCCCCAGGATGACGACAATGTGTCAGTCTGCACCAACTGCTGACGTTCCCGAAGATAAGAAGAAAACCAAGTAGACACTTCGTCAGATACCATTAGATAAGATAGTATAGAAAGAAGGATATCATGACTGACAGTATTGAAGGCGTTGGAGAAATCTATCAGAACTAAACAAGTTATTTTACCTTTCTCCATTCCTGCTCTAATATCGCCAGTCACTTTCAGGAGTGCCGAAACAGTGCTATGTCCTTTTCTGAATCCAGATTGCAGTGGATTCAACAAGGTATTCTTGTGAACGAATTGGGAAAATTGTTTATGGACACAGGCCTCAAGCACTTTCGACATAAAAGGGAGAATAGAAATCGGACGAAATTGATTTAATTCAACTGTATTGGGAATTTTAGGAAGAGGGCGGACATAAGCTTTACGCCAGAGGGTAGGAAAAACGCCGGAATTAAGGGAGGAATTAACAATGTGCGTTATTGCAGGGAGTAGATGGTCAAGTATAATAATAATCATGTGACGACTAATGTTATCACACCCCACTGCATTGGATTTAATGGATAGCATAGTTTTTTTTATCTCTGTCGGTGTCACTTGTGAAAAAAAGAAAGGGTCAATATTTGGACGCGTTAGACCATTTACATACATAATCTACGGTACGAGACGTAGCTAGACAATCTAAGTTCGACGACGTAATGAAATGACGATTGAGATCGTTTAAGTTTATTGAATTAGATAGATCTAAATGTCGCGATTTCCCGATACCTAGAGTTCCAAGAAACTTCCAGATATCGGCAGAAGATGAAGAAGTGATATTATTGAGAATGTGGCGTCTTTTAGCATTACGTATCATCTGATTACACCGATTCCTAGCAATTTTGAAGAGATCCCGCTTTTCAAGACAACGATCCCTTTTGTAAGTGCGAAAGGCCCGATCCCTACGCCTCATCGCTATCCTCACACCCATTGTCATCCAAGGCGCTGGTGGACGCTTCAACCTAACTCTTCTAACAGGCGCATGCACGTCATAAAGAGCTGTAAGAGTGTTATTAAAGTAGTTTATTTTGTCATCAACAGCGGAAGCCTGAAACAAAGGATCCCAATTAATGTCTGAAGCATCCTTTTGAAGTTGGTTGACATTAATACGGGCAAAGGACCGCCTGTGCAGAACCTTAGGAGAAGATTTCGGGGGCTTAAGAAGGTAGGAGAGGAATATGAGGTCATGACGGGAAAAGCCAGGTGCTACATGTTGACCGTGGGAAGGGACAAGGGAGAGATTGGAGGTTAACATTAGGTCAAGCCATGAGTCATCACCACAAAGATTTAGATGCGTTGGTTGAAGAGGCAAAACGTGCAAGCTTGCAGACTGAACGATGTGAAGAAACCTTCGGGATCGTGTGGATTCAGGTGTTAGGAGGTTGGTATTAAAATCACCCATGATGATGATATGTGCATACTCAGACCCAAACGATTCCAAAACCGCCTCAAATTCGGTGAAATAATCAAGAGATGGAGGACAGTAAACCACACCGAGAATTGCCCCTGCACGTCCCGATCCAATCTCCAGGAACAGGTACTCGGCCTTAGAATCAGAATCAGAGGAAGCAAACACCTTATAAGAGAAAATACTACGCAAATATATGGCCACACCACCTGCGCCCCGACCACATCGGTCGTTCCGAATAAGGGTAAAACCAGGGAGAGTGTAAGTAGAAGATTGAAGGTGTGGCTTTAACCAGGATTCAGATATGAGAATTGCATGTACATTACATCCAGAAAACGCATCGAGAAGCTCATTATAATGACTAGGGACACTTTGGGCATTGATGTGACATACATTGATCAGGTTTGGGGATTCGTTAAAGGTTTGATTGAGAAATTCACTAAGAGTGTCAGTGGCTGAACAAAAGCTTTCATTACTGGATGAGTTCGTAGATTCGTCATTAACAGAGAAATACGAATAGTCATCTAATACCATAAATAATAATTAAATATATAAGTATAAAAAATATGATTAATTAAAAATTAAGATGTGCAGACACCTCAGTATCATCACACCACCCGCCAGCTCACAGCAATCACATAAACAAATTTATAAAAACACAATAGAGAACATACACAATACAAAAACGTCCGTGAAATACAACAGACAAGCTATTGCCTTCCCACACAAAAATATACTCATAATTCCGAAAAGGTGACAGAATTAACTCGTTAAATTGCGCGAGTTAGAAAGATAACATTCTGCGTATGAATCTGTGGGGTATTATAACATAACACATTGAAATCTACAAATCAACATTACAAATCGCAGAGTAACATTTAAAAACACATAACTAGACTATAAACACAAAATAATAAAGAGATAAGCACAGCTCTAAGGCTGTATGGGTAAATATGCCTTTGCTTACATCAAATTTTAAACAAAAGAAAAAAAAAATCAGGCCATAAATAAAAACAAGAAGATGACACTTGATATACAACCATTTGACAGTATAATTAACTAAAATAATAAAAACAAGTTCATCCCCATCATACTGTTCAGCAAATAAAAGTAATATATTACAGGCTATTTATAAAAAAAATATAAACCTACCTTCATAGAATAAGTGAATAATAAGCAAGACTGTAAACAAGTAATGACATGATTTTGAGTTCAGTCAGACCAAATAAAGAGTGAGATGTTACGTACATATTGTAAATCAAAGGTAAGTGTTTACCAAACTAACAAAAGGTGATAATCATAAATCAGAGACTACTTTCGTAATTATAAAACAATAAAAGTGTTACTTATTCCTTCTTGCAGGACCCGGACGGCTACCAACCGATGACGACTCTCTTGGAAACCTGGCTATTAGGCTGTTTAAGTCATCTCTCTTCACAACCTTATGCCGCTCATTATCAGAGGTTTTAATGTGTATGACACCGTCCTGAGTCCAACAAGACCGCACACCAAAATGGACCCGAGCATTATTGAAGACCTCTTGCCTATATTTAGTGAGGAACTCCTTCACCGAGATATTAGTCCCCTTCAAAGTCGTTTTCGCCCTCCAGACTGCGGACTTAACATCATACTCTGAGAATTTCACTAAAACAGGCCGATGATGTTCATGACCAGTAGACGCTCCAAGCCTATGACACACTGACAAAGAGGATTTTGAAATGTCTTTGAGCCCCATCTTAGTCTTGAGAATGCCAAACACTGTCTCCTTGCAATTCTCAGATTCGGACTCTGCTACTCCCAGAAAAATCAAAGCCTTGTGGCGGTGCCTTGTTTCAACGGCATCTAATTGATTGGAACACTGATTAATCTGTTTACGCAGCAGCCCCAACATGCTAAAGACCAATTCTCTGAAGGTCCGGAATTCCTCAGCCACCCTAGTCACCGTTTCCTTGCCCGTACCTGCACTTTGAATTTGAGTTTCCAAATCATTCATTTTCTTCATGAAGCACTCCTCCAAGTTCTTTTGTGCAGACACAATGTCGGACAATTGTGACATAGTGAGAATTAAGTTAATGTGAAGTAGAAGTGAGTGATGCACTGGCAGGTGGTGTTAAATGTAGGTTTATACTACATTAAAGCTGATACTAACGTAAGTGGTGTTTTATTAAATCCTTAACTTCAAATTTAACACTAAATAGTTATATTTCAACAATTTTAAATAATTAAATTAAATTTTTGATTGCTAGAGACTTCTACTACTTATTCACACCTACCGCCGAAAAGCGTAAAGAGTAAAGTGATAATCAAAGAGTAAAGTTTATATGAGACAACTTTACTGACTGTAGAGCACTCCTAGACCGCAACTGAGAATAAATAAAATAGACTTCAATAAGTTTGTAGTAGAATAAAGGATTGGACTGCATTACAGTTGGCATTAGATTTGTGCAACAAGATTTGCCACAATATACCAAATGATATGGAAGTGAACCGACCTTTGTTCAGCAAAATAGTTTTGGTACTAACGAAACATCTGAAAAGTGCTGTTTATTTTTACAGTTGGTTGACCCGAGAGTTTGTCTTATTTTATTATTGGATGGATTCCAAATTTTTTTAATGTTTGAATACCACGCTACTTATATTTTGTTTTCATAGTCTAGCGTTATAATTTAACAATCTAGTTTTTATTCGGTTTATTCTCCTCTTAATTTAGTATTAATAATGAAGTAGACATTATTTTTTACAGCATTGCAATTCAAAACTAGTCAAAACGTCATGGAAGGAGTAGCAAGCAGAGTTGACTATTGTTTTCATAGTTGTCTCGAGCTATGATATAGTACCTACCCGATACTAAACTCATGTTAGATTTCGAATAAAGTATATAAAGTACCAATATTATTCAACCGAAGGCAATGTAGTTAAGAAGTATAATCTGGGACAAGATATCTTAAAACTTAAACATGTAAAATCAGCACGTGAGCCACTTGGCACGACTTAGATTGCAAATTATAGGCTTGTAGCAACATTTCTTTTTACAGATCATACAAAATTATGCTAAAGTATCCAACATTAGGTGGTATTAGATCGGGTGTCTTCCTTGCTGTATTCTGGATCCTTACATATGGATAATCCGTGGCAGGTTTTATCAAGAAAGCCAACCACACTTTGACCTCGGCATGAGGTCACGCTGTCTAGAAAAAAAGGTTATAATTTGAAAAATCACACCGTTGTCTTTAAAAACCAACGGGATACAAATAAAAATTGTCCAAAATGAATTTTATAAAAAAATATGCACAAAGTCACCCTTAATGTCTTATTCCACAAAAACGCCTATCAAAATTGACCTTTCAATTACGAGTACCAATATATTATGTGAAATAAGAAAATATGTATGATTTTGGGCTAATTCTTTTTTAACTAAAGTGATTTGACCAATTTTGATTTGTGTTGTGGCCCGTTAGTGTTTATAAGCAGTGATTACCTAGGTGGTCTTTCAGAGTGGTTTTGCAAAACAGAAACAGATGGTTAGTCAGTTAATCAACATTCGCCTCATAACATCGGGGTGAAACAATTGCAGCCTTTATTCTCAGTATTTAATTACTGCCTCTGCAAGACTGAGATAGCATAGGCACGAAAGAAAGAGAGGGGTGTAACGCAAAAATAAAACGAAACGAACGAAAACTTGTGCGATGATGTCATACAAGTCGAATAGCGGTCAAGGGTACATCTGCGGTTGGATTTCGCTAAAATGTCGATAAATATATCGGAACAGCGTTTGTTTATACTGAACAATACTAATGGTTACTTTTAAGATTATTGCTATTGAAAGATTCACGTCATTTAATCAAAATGCGAATGTGAAAGAGGGCCAGAAAAAGTCAAAAAATCTGAAAGAGTTCGAATATACATAAAACCACTAACTTTCAAATAGTTTTGTAGGTATTTGTTATTAGCCGTAACGTTAATTTACATCCTTTTAATTGGGATAGATATTTAAGTCACTCTGTAACTGAGAGAATTATGTAGCACTTTAACTATGATCTAGTTTGCAAGTGTTTGCAGCGCAATTCGCAATCTTACTATGCTATATAAAGGGCCAGTATTTTGGCTTATGCTCCCCTCGAGATCATTTGTGATTATCACCCACAAAATAAAAATCGACGAAACCACCAGTTGTGTGTTGCATTTTATGTGACTTAAATTGCCCAACGGGCAGTCTGACTGGATGGTTCAGCTTTTTTTATAAAATATCCAACATTCCTGTCGTCCCACAAAACGTGTCTTTTTGATAAAACGATGCTTTGTACTAGTCGAGTAAATTTTAGAGCCGCCAGGCTGTTCCAGCCGTTGAGTCACTTAAGAAAATTGTTTATACCGACTTCGTGTAATAGTTCGCGGAATTATTTCATCACGGATTACTTCGATGAATAACACATAATGGTGCCAATTCTGATATACCTACGTACCACTCATTTTAACTTTTTACTTTAACGCTATTCTGTATTCACATTTTTACTCAGAAACATAATTACATTCTATACTACATATAAACATAATAAAGGTGATGTCCTACGCTTTAAATAAAGTTTGCCCCACAAGTGAAAATGAAAATCTATGAAAATCTATGTCTTATTCAAAGATTTCTCTGTCATCTTAGACTTACCGCCGATTCCTGAATTGAGAAAAGTAAACAATCTCAATTGATTTTTCTAGATAACTTAAGTTTTTTTTACGTTTCCCATGGCAAAGTTTCTGTGACTTAAATTGCCCAATCTGCTTTCACCCGATCATTAGAAAAATTATAATCAGAAACAGAAACCTGTTTAAATAACGTTTAAGATGGTTTAAGTACGGTTTGAGACGTGCTTAAGTTTAAATTCTCAATTCAGAAACCGACTGGACTTACCTTACCTTTATTTAGTTGAATTAGTTGGACTTACCTACTGTATATGAAAGGGTTTTACTGACTTACAAAATATGCGGCTTATGTTATCTCGTGTCTAATAATAGTGAATGAATCCTTGTATTTTATTGATGTTGAAGAATTTCTGTATCAGAGTAAGTAAATTACCACTTGCTACTGTTTAGATAATGGATCCATTTAATGCGCTTATCAACTTCAGTTTATGACAAAGCCTTATAAATATGTTTTTTGTCGTAGAAAATCTATTATATTATATAATAGACTAATACTAAATCGATATTTTGCACAGATATGTTGTTTAAGATTTTTTTAAAGAGGATTTAATGAATTAATATTATAAATAAGAAAGATTTGATTGTTAGTTTGTTTGCATCGAATAGGCTCCTATAATATTAGACCTAACTAAAAAAAAAACACCTTCGGGAAGCTACATTATACGCGCGTGATATAGGCTATAAATTACGTCGCAAGTAACTAGTAAGTAATAAAATCTATGATTGTTCTATTTAATGTGATCTCAACAAAAATAATTAAAGAATATAGTCTTGTAATTTTGCTATTTGCTCGAGAAGACCAGTCTTCAGACGTGGGTGCGGGTAATCTGTGAATGGGTGACGCAACTACCGCCCACTCTGTTACGACACGCTGCGAAGCCTTTATTGGTAAGGTATTTTGTGCCGTGACTTACCACATAAAAGAGTTCAAAGTCTGGGTACTGAAGAAAACAAAATAAGTTCCTATAAGTATGTACTTACTGACTTGTAATGAGCTTCCGATATTTCGGCATCGTTGCAAGCGTCATAGCGGTCCATTTACACGAGGGCAATAGCCGACACAGTGCAGTGGTTTCGTGTAAATGGAGACAATCCTCAAGCCAGTAATTAAGACAGTCCAATGAAATAGAACGGTTTCTGGTTTACTGGATTGTCTCGTGTAAATGGTCCATTTGGGACTGCCTGCATCACGGAATGTCATCACGCGAATTTTATTTAGCGATCGAAATTAAGTATGGATATTTTTTCTATTGTACCTTAACTGTAACTTATACTAAATTTGCTGTTTACTTTTTACTTTCATTATATGGACAATATATAAAACTATTTGCATGAAAATTCAATATTTTTTTTTTTTATAATAATCGGGAATAATTATATGAATTTATTGGAAACTTGTGATAATTGATGTTATAAAACTGATGATGATAATAAATGTGAAGTTTCTAGACTACATTCCAATGAAAATATTTTCGCCGAAAAATAGGCCACATTAACCGGTATCCCCACAATACCAACACTTTAGCGATCCTTCGCTATATTTATTTACGTACGTAAATCCTCGGTTACCGCAATTTTGTCCGTTAATTATATACTTATAAAGTCTAATTTATTTTGATGTCTAGAATGCTAGTTAAATCTCATTATAGACGTTATAAATAACTTAATAGATACTTTCGAATACCTATAGAACCAATATTATAGTTATATGTAATTATGAGGTTACGCGTTTATGTCCGAGAAGGTAAGTCAAGATAGCAAGTCAGTGCTAATAAGCTAGAATCAGAAACCACATTTAGTATATGTACTAAATGTGGTTTCTTCATTAATTATTGAATTAAATCAATATCAATGCAACAAACTCAGCTTCAGCTTTTTCTATCAGTTATTTAGGTACACATCGTTTGTATTAAATATCCTGACGAAAGTGGCGTAACTACAGGTTGGCAATTCGGCAAAATGCCACGGGTCCCCAGCTGGAAGGGGCTCCGGGTCAGAAGAGACTCCTTACTCCTGACATTTATTATTACACAATTAGTAAAAAAAAAATGAATATCCGATGAATTTGCCACGGGCCTCAAACGGTATAGTTACGCCACTGCTTGACGACCCCCGTAGCTAAATAGTTAGTTGCAAGGTATTGCCTTCTCTGAAGTCCAATTCCCAGTCGACTTAATGTATAAAATGGATTTTTCTATATTGTCTCCGGTCTGGGTGTTAGTGTTACCTTCGTTATTTTAGATTGCCATAATACAAGTGCTTTAGATTTTTAATTTGAGATCAAAGCAATATATGTGATGTTGTCTCATATCTTACATTATTATCTATTCAATAGGTACCTACCTAGTGAAGTTACTCATT